TCTACTCTGTCCCATAGGGCCAACATGAGTCTTAAGTGATTTGATAGCAATGAGGTTTTCTTGAGTGAGCTAACATACTTATATGCTTCTGATTGAGATGCTACTTTTTCAATAAAATAGGACATTTATAGGGGTGGAACCTAGGGCTGTTTCATAAGGTCACTTAGTTCCTCTATGTCTAAGTGTAAAATCTTCTTTTTCAGCATCTGGAAATGCATTTTGTCAAGCAGCCAAGCTCCATATGCAGCTGCAGAGCAAACATGATTCTGCTACCAGTTTTGTGGATGCTGGAAATGCTTATAAAAAGGCAGACCCACAAGGTAAGACACAGCTGTACATGTTGTGTATCATCTCTCGGACCCATCTGTCAGTATTGCTATTGTCAGGTGTATGTTAAAGTAAGTATATGCTCGAGTCGTTTATCATAGGTGATACTGTTGGGCCTTTTTCAATGTCCTGGTAGAAAGGAATTTCTGTACTTTGGAATAGTAGATATTTTTTTAACATTAGGAATAGTTTCTTAATCATTTGGGCCTTTAGTGTTATTCTGGCTATTTGTTCATTTACTCTTAAATATGTAGCTTCTTACAAATATTTAGTGAGTTTTAAGATCTAGTTAATGTGAAATTGTATTACTAGAATGCTTATAAGCAGCTCTTATTCACATTATTCATCTTTTTAAAAAATATATTTTTCAAAATATTTGTGTAAAAAAATATTTCAAGTTGTGAAATATTGTGTTAATTTCTTTTTTAGTCAGAAAAGTGTCACACTTAGCATGTGTACTGAAAACTTCTGAGTTTCTCCCTTTTTTAGCAGAAATCCCACTTTCATAAGTATGTCATAAAGAAATGAGGTGCTTTCCAAGACTTTTGTGTAAAGATTAATTACAGTTTATTTCCAGAAATGAAGAACTGGTATCACCCTAAATGCGCAGTGAGAAAGGATGGTGCCAGCAGAAGGCGTCAGTACTTACGAACATGATTCTGGCATTGTTTTCTGTGGATTCAAAGAATCCTCCGTTGGATAGTAAATAGTCACAGAATAACTATTGAGGAAACCACGTGAAACTTAATATATAATCCAAATTTCAGAAGAGGTTTACACTCCAGGAAACACATTTTGAAAAACAAGAGGAGGAGAATGCATCAAAATTTTAACATTGGATTTCAGAGGATTTATAGATGGCTTATTTTTCACTATATATTTTTTGAATATTTAAAAATATAACATTGAATCCATATTTTTACATAATTTATGTAAAATTACCTTTCAAATTTATTCTTAATGTTAATTTATTTAATTTTCTTGTCAAACCTTTTCACTTTATATCTCTTTTAAACTAAAAGTAATAAGCTTGGAGCTATGAACCATATGCCAGGATACCATCATTTTATGTCATGAAAAAGTTGTCACTTCACTGTCTTACAATTTTAGTTAATAAGCATTATCATTTATTGATTTTTTTTTTTCCTTTTGTGAATGTGTTTACACCAAAAGTTAACATCTTTGTACATTGTACAAAATGTTGACTTCTCTTAAGTGTTGTCTAGACTTGAATTTTGATTTTGGCTGCATGAAGAATAGGACCTGTTGGAATCTTTCTTATGAAGTGATACTGTCTCCAAAAATAAGTTACATATTGACAGTTACATTTAAAATTTATCAGTGTTGCTGACAACCCACCATGGTTTTATTGTCTCTGTAGGCTGATCCTTCACCTGCATGGAGTCCTCACTTTAAATTTAAGAGTAAGAGCTAGTATTGGCTTCAACTGCAATTTTCTAAATTACACAGTAGCCTCTATGAACAAAGCTATGTTGATGAGTCTGGACTTCTGCATGATTTGTGTTTGCTTTTCACTAATTAACCTACCCTCCCTCCACCCCAAAATTGTACCTCATTAAAGTTCTAATAGCCAAGAAGACAGTTTCACTTGAGCTCTCTTTGACTGAATGGAATTTTCATTGTTTTTCTTAAATGCCTACGCTGCAGAGGCTATCAACTGCTTAAATGCAGCCATCGACATTTACACAGACATGGTAAGACATTGTACTGCTTGGATGGATGGCTGTGGGGTGGAATCCTTGACATGACTTATGGTTGTGCTCTTTTGTCATTCCTACTCAAACTGATTGACACGCAAATAGGTTTTTAGAAACAGAAGATGTGACTCTCTCTTTTTTTCTTTTTCCACCAGGGAAGATTTACAATTGCAGCCAAGCACCATATTACTATTGCAGAAATCTATGAGACTGAGCTTGTTGACATTGAGAAGGTAAGCAGTCAACAGGATTCGTTATAAACTTGCTGCAAAACTGATAAATCAGTTGACGTTAGAACTCTATCCTCTTGAAGAGGCTTTTGGGAGGAGCTGCTGGAGGGCCCCCAGATTTAGGGCTCAATAGATATATTGTTTTCCTGTAAAGCATGTCTTAAGACATGAGAATTGGTTAAATTTGATTAATTCCCCCTGTTACTCCATTTGTCTGGTTCGTTTAAAAATACTGATATTGCCAAAAGAATCTTCAATTCTGTCATTATGGGCTCTGTCATTAAGGTCACTCTTGTCACTAACAAACGTGTGGTTAAGTGCTTTTAAAGTTCTGCAGACATTTTTATACCTTTAAAATAAAGGCTGTGACCATAGAGGAGAAGGTAGGTGAATGCCACTTAGCTCCCTATGTTTCACATAGGTCTGGTTATCTGAGCTATGGTTTAGAATGACAGGAGAAAGGAGGAATTAGGTAACCTTTAATGTGCACTTATTTATTCTGAGACTTTGTATTTTGTGGCATTCTATGAATTTATGCTCATTTCATTACTCTCTAAAACTGGCCCAAACGCTGCTGTTCCTGTCAATTGCATCAGCGCTTCTGTCTGCAGAGCTCTTCACAAATGTCTACATGGCAAACTAGGGATTACCAGCAGAGATGAAGTGTGCCTCAGTGAGAAGGAAGCACATTGTCAGACCCCAGAGTCTGTTTTGTCTCAGATTTGAGACAAATGTTGGTATAAAGGTGTCCTGTTACGTACCATGGTGTGATTCAGAAAGAGAAAGGTGTTATGCAGGAGATAATGAATGATTATTGTCACAATAATGAATGCATGCTCACAGAGATTAACATTCCATCCTATCTGACTGAATCATATAATCAGATAGTTGCGCACTCCTCTGTTTGCTCTCTCACCTTGGTTTCTAGGACTCCATGTGCTCACCCAGTCTTCCTGTCACATCAGTGACCACTCTCCCAGACTCCTTTGTTGCTTCCTCCTCTTCTCACCAGCTAGCATGAGGTGTCCTGGGGTTTAAAACCCGCAGTCCTATCTCTTAATTCCTTGATGAGTTCTTAGACTCACTTAGCATTTACCTTTCAATATTGTCAGTGTGCCAGTTGCTTGCCAATCTAGCTTTGACCCAGACCTCCCCAAACCCCAGATTTCTCTGTCCATTTGCTTCAACTCTCTACATGTGCTCAACAGTCATCTAACCCAGCATGTCTACCCTGAATTCTAATCTCACCTCCCACCCAGCGCTCCCCTCCTAACCACAGACTCTCTTTCTGTCTCTCTCCACATCTAGGGCTCCCTAATCAGTGTCTCCCCAGCTTGTGCTTGGTCTGGTCTTTAATTTCTCCTCTCTCCCCACCCCCACTCCTGCACAAGTGTACCAGGACAATTGAAGTGATCCATACAATTGGTAAATCTTATTCTCTTTCTCTGATGTTTACAACCTTGCATTGGTCCCTACTTCACACAGGAACAGCTCAAGCCTTCCAGATGATCTCTAAAGCCCCGCTAGTTTTACCACCGCCACCTCAGACCTCTTCTGTTACTCTTTTCTTCATCAGACCTGCTCCAGCCACACTGGTCTCTTTGTTGCTCCTTATGCATTCCAAGTGGCTCCTGCTTCAGGACCTTTGCATTAGCTCTTCTATCTGCCTGCAAAGCTCGTCATAAATATCCACATGGCTAACTTTCCACATTCTTAAAGTTTGCATGGCTAACTTTCCTGTATCCTTCAAATGTTTTCTATAAATCTACTAGGATGACCTAGTTAAAATTAAAACCATGCTCCTTTCAAGAATACCCAGGAACCTACTTGCCAGCTTTTCCTTTTTGCCTCCTCAGAGCACATGTCCCCTTACTTATATCATGTTCTGTGATGTGCTTCCTCATCATCCTGCTTTTGCATTGTCTCTTCCTCTCCGTTAGAGTGGCTGTCCATGGCAGCTAGGAGCTTTCTGGTTTCCTGTTTCATCCCAGTAGCTCAGAACTATGGAACTGGGTTTCTAAGTCTTTGTTGAATAAAACTAGTGCCCACATCTCTTCCCTAGCAATCTACTCCCAAAACAAATGAAGCCTTTCAGTCTTTGGTCAGAGAAGCATCCCTGCATCCCTTAGTCAGTGGTAAACTTGAGCTGACATTGTTCCTATTTCCCTTCTGATTTCATGCTGACCACTAGGTTTTGGTTATACAGGTCAAACTCTGTCCACACTTTAGAAGTCATTATTTGTCTGTTTTTCATAATATGTCCTGCTTTTCTGAGGATAGCCTCCAATCTTCTTGATTTCATTAATGACATCCTGTGTGTATGTAAACATTTTTTTGTACAGATGTTCACTGTAAATCCTTGCAGAAACTGATAGAGCACATAACATGCCCTAGTGTAAAATTGATGATGTATTAGTGAAGAGAGAATCTGGCATATTTATTTGGTCAGGGTGTCTGGGATAGACATAATCTAGTTAATTTGAATGCGTATTGGGAGGTGGAAAGCATCTGTGACCAGACTGCTTTTGTCAGCTGCTATCAGTCAACTTCGTTTTCCACTATGTCTTTTTTAAAAAATGACTTGATGTAGTTTCTGGAATATCCTTTACCTCGCGTTGTCCCTACTGTTCTGTGAATTGGCAGTAGGTGGCATCTTTCATTGAGATAGATTATGCCTTTGTAAGCAGTATTACGAAGAATATAACTGAGCAGGTAACACACAGGACTAACATGTTATATAACCTGATGCTTGGGCTCCTGTGTTATTTAGAAATATTGTCTTATCTTCCCTGGTTGTACTAGCTAATTTGTGGTCAGTTATATATGAAATTTAAATTTGATAAATTAGTTACACAAAGGTATCTTATATTTGGTTTGTTAACAATACATTTTTTTGCTTTTAATGTCCATTTTCTGATTTATTCACATATTTTGGCCATTAAAAAATGAAATGTGAAATTCCACACACTCAGAGATTGCTTCATGAAGTAAACTACTGATAATGCAATAATAAATCTGTTCTCTTTAAATGGTCTTTTTTTTTTTCTTTTAAAAATAATTTTATTATTTTTATTTTTTTATAATCATTTTATTGGGGGCTCTTACAACTCTTATCACAATCCATACATATATA